GGACTTTGGGGGTTTATCTTTTGAACAAATAAAAAAGAAATTAAAAGAAAAGAGAGACTGGCTGACTGACGAGCAGCTTAATGGGGTTTTGGTGAACAACGCCATGCACGTCAAGTGAGGGTTTAGGGTTTAGGGTTTAGGGTTTAGGGTTTAGGGTTTAGGGTTTAGGGTTTTCAGGTGTTTCGGTATCGCTGCTGCTTCTGTGCAGCTCCTTTTGCTGCCTTTTGCTTCCCTGCTGCTGTACGCGCACGCAGGGCTCGCAGCGCACGGCCTAGGGTTTAGGGTTTAGGGTTTAGGGTTTAGGGTTTAGGGTTTAGGGTTTGTGTTGCAGCGGCATTTGGGTTTTGAACTCCCTGGGAAACCCTCAAATAGATGCTGTTCGTTCTTCCCTCATTAAAGTCTTCAGCAGTCCCAATCCGCCCAACACCAAAAACAAGATTTTGGAGGTGCAAACCCTAAACCCTAAACCCTAAACCCTAAACCCTAAAACCCTAAACCTTAAACCCTAAACCCTACTTGCAGCGCTTTTACACCGACGCAGCGGTTACCTTTTTGCTGGCCGATTAATCAATTATCTTTAATTATTAATTATTAATTAATTAATTATTTATTTATTTGTTTGTTTATTTATTTATTATTTATTTATTTATTTATTTATTTATTTATTTATTTTTTATTTATTTTCTTATTTTTGTTTTTAATTCGTTTCAGGCTGTGGAAGCAGACATGCAGAGAAGAGTCGCTTTGCCAGACTTCACTCTCCGCAAACTCCTCAGGTAAACCCTAAACCCTAAACCCTAAACCCTAAACCCTCAACCCTAAACCCTAAGCCCTAAGCTCCAAACCCTAAACCCTAGGGCCTAGTTGAGGGCTACGGGAATGGCTGGTTGCTGCTCGGTGCCATTCAAGGCGCAGTTCTGCGCTTTCCAGACTTAGGGTTTAGGGTTTAGGGTTTAGGGTTTAGGGTTTAGGGTTTAGGGTTTAGGGTTTGCGTTTAGGGAGTTTGCAAAGAATGAAAATGGCCTTTGGAACTTCAAGGGAAGCAAAAGCACCGAAGAGAAAAATGATTTATCTGAACTTGTTTGCGAGGGTGTTTAAATATTTATTTTTTTATTTATTTTATTTATTTATTTATTTTATTTATTTATTTTATTATTTATTTATTTTATTTATTTATTTATTTATTTTATTTATTTATTTATTTGTTTGTCTACTTGCTTTTTATCTAGGGTGGTGTCTCGGAATGAGTAGCTGTTTTGTTTATTTGCTTGGCTAGGGTTTAGGGTTTAGGGTTTAGGGTTTAGGGTTTAGGGTTTGCGGTTCCGTTTATCCTAAACCCTAAACCCTTTTATCTGTTTATCCGTTTATTTATTTATTTTCTGAGGAGCAAAAACCCCTTTTTACATCTCTGGCTACTTCCAAACCCTAAACCCTAGCAGCTCACTGAGCTTTCTAAACCCTAGCTTCCTGTAAACCCTAAACCCTAGCTTCTTGTAAACCCTAAACCCTAGCTTCCTGTAAACCCTAAACCCTAGCTTCCTGTAAACCTCAAACCCTAGATTCTTGTAAACCGCGTAAACCCTAAACCCTAGTGCTTTGTAAACCCTAAACCCTAGCTTGTAGGCAGAGTATCCATTCAGACAGTAAAACCTGCTGCACAGCTGAGGCCTTCCCGCGGCTCCTAGGGTTTAGGGTTTAGGGTTTAGGGTTTGACTTTTGAAATCTCATCGACTTTCATTTCTAAACAAATCAGTAAATCCATTTATTCTGGAATTACTTTTTATTTAATTATAGTATTATTTATTTCTTTACATCTAACGGGCCCCCCGGGGGGCCCCTGGGGGCCCCCTGGGGGCCCCCTGGGGGGCCCCTGGGGGGCCCCCCTGGGGGCCCCTGGGGGCCCCCGAGGGGCCCTTTTTGTAAACTTTGGGAATAAGAAAGTAATAATGAGTTAATTGGATTTGAAATTGATTTATTTGTTTTTAATTTTTGAAATTTGATTTCATTTTATGTTCCAACGCCCGCTGTAACCCTAGAAGCAGCAGCAGCAGCAGGAGCTGCTGCTGCTGCTGCTGCTGCTGCTGCTGCTGCTGCTGCTGCTGCTGCTGCTGCTACATGAGTGGCCCCACAGGCTGCCGAAGCAGCAGTTCTTATGGCTGCAGCAGTGGCAGCTATTGCCAATACGGCTGTCAATTCAGCAGCAGCAGCAGCAGCAGCTGCTGCTGCTGCTGCTGCTGCAGCAGCCATGCTTGTGCAGCAGCGCCACTTCGCTGCTGTGGTGTCGGCAGCAAACTCCAGGGTCTCTGCTGCTGCAGCAGCAGCAGCAGCAGCAGCTGCTGCTGCTGCTGAATCAAGATTTGCGTCGGGCTTCCATCGCCGCTTTGCTACAAACTGCAGCAGCAGCAGCAGCAGCAGCAGCAGCAGCAGCAGCAACAGTGGCAGCAGCAGCAGCACGAACAAGGCCACTTGTGCGTGTGGGCTGCAGCCTGCTGCTCCTGCTGCTGCTGCTGCTGCTGCTGCTGCTGCTGGCTTCTGCGGGTTTAGGGGCAGCGGCGTGAAGTGGGGGGAAATGGAATTCCTCAGCAGCAGAAGCAGCAAACCGGGGGGGCAGAGCAGCAACAGCAGCAGCAGCAAAGTGCAGCTGCGGCTGGAAATAAGGAAGCAGACTTGGCTGTGTCTGCTGCTGCAGCAGCTGCTGCTGCAGCAGCAGAAGCACGCCGTCACAGCAGCAGGGGTGCTGCTGCTGCACTGCCAAGCCACCTCGTCGCAGCAGCAGAACAAAGCCAGGGTCAAGCAGCAGCTGCTGCTGCTGCTGCAGCAGCTGCTGCAGCAGCAGCAGCAGAAGCAGCAGCACATCCCTCTCGAGGAAAGAAAAACCATTCAAGAAAAAAGAGAAAGAAGAAATAAACTCTTCGAAGAAAAAAGGAGAAACGCTTACCACAGAAAATGGTTCTAAACCCTAAACCCTAAACCCTAAACCCTAAACCCTAAACCCTAAACCCTAAACCCTAAGCAGCCAAGGCCGGCCCAGGGCCCCAGGGCCTCGCTACAAAACCCTAAACCCTAAACCCTAGGGCGGCGGAAGCTCTTTGCTTGCAGACCTCATAAACCCCAATCGACGTACAAGAAAAAACGTCTAGGGTTTAGGGTTTAGGGTTTAGGGTTTAGGGTTTGGGGAGTGGGAACAAAAGACCTCCAAGCCCCACCTCCAACTCCCCGCTTCTGAAGCAACTATTTACTTTCAATTCATTTATTTATTATTTATTTATTTATTTATTTATTTTTATTTATTTATTTATTTTATTTATTTTTATTTATTTATTTATTATTTATTTATAATTTTAGATTATTTTCATTTGAGTTATTAAGGGGAGACCGACAGAAGTTCAAACCGAGAAAACGGCAGACACACCATGCTGCTGCTGCAGCTGCTGCTGCAGCAGCAGCAGCAGCAGCAGCTTCTGCTGCAGCTGCAGCAGATGCTGCTGCTGCTGCAGCAGATGCTGCTGCTGCTGCAGCAGATGCTGCTGCTGCTGCTGCAGCTGCTGCTGCTGCAGCAGCAGCTGCTGCTGCTGCAGCTGCTGCTGCTGCTGCAGCTGCAAGTGTCGTTTTCGGAGGCTGCTGAGGCGCTGCGCAGCACGGCGCAGCAGCAGCCGCTGCTGCAGCTGCAGCAGCAGCTGCTGCAGCTGCAGCAGCAGCTGCTGCCACTGCAGCAGCATCTGCTGCTGCTGCAGCAGCAGCCGCTGCCACTGCAGCAGCATCTGCTGCTGCTGCAACAGCTACTGTTTCTCCTGCTGCAAACGTTGCTGCTGCTGCAGCAAATCCTGAAGCTGCGGCGGCAAGTGCTGCTGCTACTGCTGCTGCAGCAAATGCTGCTGCTACTGCTGCTGCAGCAACTGCCACTGTCACTGCAGCAGCTGCTGCTGGTACTGCTGCAGTAACAGCTGGAGATGCTGCAGCAACTCCTGGTGTTGTAGCAGCAGCAGCAGCAGCTGCTGCTGCAGCTGCTGCAGTAACTGCTGCTGCTGCTGCTGCTGCTGCATTTCCATTGAAGAAAACACGAAGCTGAGAAGGCTGGACTCACAGTGGGTGGTTTGAATACCAAGCCCTACTCCCCCCCTGAAGGGCACAAACCCTAATTTAGGGTTTAGGGTTTAGGGTTTAGTACGGCCGGCCATAGCCACGAGCTGCACCCCCACGCCCTCTGTAAGTTGGCCTGAAGCTGCCGCCGCCTCTGCCCCTGCAGCAGCGCAACCAAACCCTAAACCCTAAACCCTAAATTCTAAACCCTAAACCCTAAACCCTAAACCCTAAACCCTAAACCCCTTTTTCAAAGCCTAGACCTAAACCCTTGCGGCGAGCGCGCAAGTTGCGACCTGGGCCGGCAAACGCGCAAGACGAGCCTTCCAGCCTCCACTCCACATCTTAGGGTTTAGGGTTTAGGGTTTAGGGTTTAGGGTTTAGGGTTTAGGGTTTACCGCCCCCGGAAAGGCACTGCCCCCCGCGGCCTCCAGCCGCCGCCTCTGCCCCGCGACATCCCCGGGATGTTCTTGCGCTTGGAAACGACCTAAACACAAACCCTAAACCCTAAACCCTAAACCCTAAACCCTAAACCCTAAACCCTAAACCCTAAACCCTCAGGAACCGAATGCAGGGCCATGAGCTCTGTGGAAACGCGTTCATTATTATGTGGTTTGAGCCACCGTAAACCCTAAATCCTAAACCCTAGTCCCTAAACCCCAACCCCCAAACCCTAAACCCTAAACCCTAAACCCTAAACCCTAAACCCTACTTTGATCTGTCGGTCCTTTAATGTTGAGTCGGACAGCAGCACCGCGTGCTGCGCTGCGATTTCCGAGCCAAACTCTATGTAAGCATATCCTGCAGCAGCAGCAGCAGCAACAGCAGCAGCAGCAGCAACAGCAGCAGCAAATGCAGCATTGCAGCAGCGAAGGTAGCAGCAGCAAAGCACCCACAAGCAGCAACGAAGTGCAGCAGCA